ATCGATAAAGGGACAGAGATTTCAGACCTCCATTTATTAAGAAGATCTCCAAGATTTCTCTTGTTTTGAGGGGGTGCACAGACCTCTCCCGAATCATCTCCAACAGTCGCAGCCTCCGAAGCACCATTAACTCCGCCTCTGTTTCCCTCGTAAGCTGATATTAGTATATAAACATTCTCTATGATAAAAAATGTTTGTGAAAAAAAAATATTTGAATAACATGGGTTTGGCGGTTATAGAGTTCTAATGACGGTGTTCAACTATAGGCGCGTATCCATTACAGATTTGTGCAAAAGTTTTTTTTTTTTTTCCTCTCACAATAAGTCATTCCAAAAATCATGGCAACAGACGTTGTTTGGTTTACATCAGACCCACCACACCAGACATTATTAACGGAAGGAGACATGGTGTGTTATTCAAACATTAATGCCAGGGAAAGACACGGAGTTCCTGGGTGTTTCTCCCTCATTTCTGCTCCGAAGTCTTGATTGTGGCATTTCTTTGAGGGTTAGAGTCCAGTAGGCTATTCCTGTATTTTTTGTTTCTTTTATAAAAATAAAGAAAAGAAACAATATTGAATAAAGAATTCTGTCTCGTATTATGTCAAAACGGTCAGTGTACTTGCATTTGTTTTCCCTTATTTAACCCATAATTGCAAAACGATAAATGAACGGTTCTTGTATTTTTAAAATGCATTTAATTGTTTTTATTTGTATTTGTATTTTTAAGTTGGATACCAACATTTTAGTTTGACCTGTAGGCCAACACAAAATGCTGTGCCAAAATATATATATATATATATATATATATAAATTTTCAGATATTTTTTTATGAAATTTTGCCCCTTTATTAAACATTTAAAATATTCACAAATTAATATTTACTAGTTTTCTAAGGCCAAATTAAAACCTGGAAATTATATTTTCCCCGCATCTGACGAGAAGAGCCATAACCACAGCCTACAGAAAGGTGATTTATGTGAGTTATAGGCTATAATAAATGTGTCTGAAAAAACAACATGGAATTTTAATTGATTATTAATAAACTATTGTTTTCCTAAATCAGTATTGGCTAAAACATATCTCCATCTCCAGATGCACCTTTAGAGAGAGTAGAATAGAATTAGAATAATTATTATTATTTGCGGACACAGACCCAAAACACACTGTGTCTTCTAAGTCAGGTGACTGTAAATGCACAAGACTTGTTTCCATTGCAGTTTTACGAAATATTCCTTTTTCGAATTCCTGAAAAATCTCCTCATGCGAGCGTAAAAACTTTTTTTGCGATAAATGGGAGTTTCTGAAAAATTGACATGTTTCCATTGAGTGTATTTTCATTTCGCAATTTTAATTTGCGCAATTTGAAGGGTAATAGAAACACGACTTATAACCGTCACACCCCTAGTTCCACGGCGGCATTCATCTTTGTAAATGTACAAAATCTGCTTCACCGTCGCTGTGCTGACATCATCGTTTAAACCCCGCCCCAACTTTTCGATAGATTAGAAATGGATTTGAATGAGCTCTTTGCCAGACTTTGCTCTTTGCAGAGCAAATCTAAATTTGCCAGAAGTTTTCCCAGTGTTTTCCCAGGCTTCTAAAAAATAGCACAGCAATGAAAAAAATTTTTTAATTTAACCTGCAAAAAGGAAAATTATTTTAGTACCACCAGATTTAGGTTGAAAAAAAAAATTTCTCAGTTAAGTAGTCCTCAGAAAACAGCTCTTTTTATCTCAGTATCGTCTCACCTTTTATATCTGGCTTGACATTTTCTGAAACCATACACTAGTGCATTGTGGAGGGATTATGTGTTTAAGTGGGTGTTTTCAATTTCCTCAGTTGTTTGTATTGAAGCTCAGTGGGCATCGTTTCAAATATAAACAACAATTTTCCATTTGCCAAATCTAGATGGAACCCAAGACACTGTCAGGTTTGAGACAAAAGCCCAAAGGTGCTACACCTCTACAGTTTCTAGTCCAATCTGACATAGATGATATCAGAGGTCTTTTTCTCTCTTTATTTGGTCTTGATCTTGCATCTTTAATTAAAAGCCTAGCAACTGCAGCATGCTAATAGGTGTCTTACCCAGCATGGTATGCCGTGACTGTCAACCACCTTAATTGCTATTCCCTTTGGTTAAACTCACCTCGCCAGGGGCTGGAGCCAATCTTTAGAGCCAGTGACAAATCACTTGAGGATTACACGGAGCATGCACTGCAACCAAGACAAAGTAGGCGTCCAGCAGCCTGGCCTGCAATTTACACTAAATGGGTTCATCAATGTCCTGCTGTTATCTGTTCCCCCAGACCTCATGACCTTTCAGATGGATGACTCACAGTCTTTGGAGGGAGACTGAATCTAGATTACGATGGCAATTTCTGATTTGTTATCACAAGGGAGAACTCTGTGGCAAGTCTGTTATAATCTCACAATTGTGCTTAAAGTTGTTGCTGTGTCATTTAGGGGCCTTGCTGTCATCCATTACAGCCAATGCACATTGACATGCTAACCATGTTAAACAGATAATGGAGTTGTTACAGAAGCATTTAATACGGTCCTTGATGTGCTGGTATTTATCTGCATGAAAGTAAACAATATTTTTTTATTCTGTGGCCCTGGAGAACACTTACCATTATTCACACCCAAAACTGTGTTCGTAGAGTACGGCTTAGAAAAGAAGTATCATTCAGATTATTCACTTATTTCCCCTGTGCAATCCGCTTGCTCAACATCACAGAATGAGTCTGACTGAACAGCATGGCCTGAATTATGTACATTGAGGGTGAGACGGCCCATTGTTAATATCATTATGGACTAAATTGTGTGGGCAGAGGTAAGTGTGATCTACAGTTCAAATCTACCTCTCAAACGCCTCGATATAAACGAAAGTTGTGCATGCCTATTTACTTGATTTTACATTTAGATTACCTTTGACATCATCAAACATTCAACGTTCATCAGTAAAAACACCAGTAAATTTAATAAAAATCTGCAGTCATTATTTGTTTAGCTAGTGTTAGCAGATACTAGTGATGCATCAAGAACAATTTGTCCATTTCAAACAAATTTTATTTGTCCAGGGAATAGCGAGTTGTCTCAGAGAGCAATTCGTTCCTTTTGTGTTGGTCATTTAATTTGTAACTAATGTGGAAAGCGCACAGCTCTGTGTGGCTAAGTGAGATGTACGTTTTGTCCAGATCTGATCGTGCGCAGGCTACTCTCACATGACTTAGCTCTCCTGGTTGAGCTGCACTATATTGGGTTAATATGCGATATGCTAATTTCTGCGTTACCTAGTGTGCAACAAACCCACTTGCATTTTTCCAAAGCAACTTATATGTTATTCAAGACACAGAATCAAACCTATTACTTTGATGTTGTCGTCACCATGCTAGACTGTTTGAGCTAACAGGACAGACACTTGCACACTTGCAAATGTAACCTGGTGGATGCTTTGGTCTTTTCTTAGAGCTCTAGACATGTTCACTTAGGAAGGAGAACTTCTCTTTAGTCAGGAGATGAGCAGCTGACCTGTGTACCACACAGGAGTTCAAATAACACATAACGTGAGGTTAAGAAGCAAAGCGGCATTAACTTTCTATCTTCTCTTGGACCTACACAGCTTACCTGGCCACAGTTTGAATGAGCTCAGTGGAGATGTTTTAGGAAAAAAAAGCTGAATAAGACATATGCAATTCAGTCTCTTTAGATCATTATATTTTTATGTTCTTGAGACCAGCCACCATAAAGCCATGTTATGATACCATGATACCATGTTAAAATAGAGCTATTCCTATACAGTGAATAAGCAACTTAGCTTAAAAGGATAGTTCTTCCAAAAAATCTAAATGATTAAAATTATGTCATAATTTACTCACCCTCAAGTTGTTTCAAACCTGTATGAATTTCTTTCATTCTTGCTGCAAGAATGTAAGTTACCAAACAGTTGATGGAACCATTTAACTTCTACTGTGGAAGGCAATGGGGCACATCAAATGTTTGGTTACCCATGTTATTTAAAATATCTACTTTTGTGTTCAGCAAAAGAAAGAAAATCATACAGGTTTGGAACAACCTGAGGTTGAGTAAATGAGTTTATTTTTATATTTTATTCTTTTATTCTTTTATTTTATTCTCATATTTTTTTATGCAATTCACATGCGGCTAAACATTTGTTAAGTTTTAAAAGTAGTACATAATAGGTTTAATAGTGGCAATAACTTCAAGGTCTGCTGGCCAAACAGAGAAGAGTTTTCCTCATCTTATAAGCAGCACGCTGTGGCTATCTAAGCAACAGGAGCGAGAGCGGAATCATCTCTGCCTATGGCATGTTTCCCACCTGGGACAATGGAATGCCATCACATCACCATGGCAACCGCTACAACCACACAAGCACTTGACTCTTTAGAAGTGACTGAATTGAGAGGAAATCTTGAAAGGTCGTGACCGCACAAAGGGCTTGACTTCCCAGAGTCTCCCACTGTTCGAACGTGATTATAAAATTACTTCAACAAAAAAAAGTTGGCTGTGAATTGAAAGTGCTGTCAGTCATTCACACACCCTGATGGCGGTTTGTAAAAAGGTTCATGTGATCTGGTTGGTAAGATGCTGTTAAGCAATAATGGGCTGGCCCACCAACAAAGAATGTCTTACTTCAGAGTTTCTGGCATGCTTTAGTATGCCATTTCTAAAAATTGCCAGAATGCATTTGATTTCATTGGATTTCATTTGAGCAAAGGCAATATAATATATATATATATATATATATATATATATATATATATATATATATATATATATATATATATATATATATTATAATTGTGTATATATATATATATATATATATATATATTTTTTTTTTTTTTTTTTTTGCTTTCAAATCAAGCATTATTTAATGCTGTGGAAAACCCTATAAGCCCAATGCATACACAGGAAATGGGACAAGGCTAGAATCAACAGATGCACACAAGACTTTAATAAACCAGTGATACGTACGGACTGGCTGGTAATCCAAGGAGATGTCTGAAGGAGCTTGTAATACTGCAGACCTTCGATAAACCACATGCACTCTTCCTCTCTCCTCGTGTTCCTGTGTTCCTCGCTCCAGAGGCTCAATGAAGTACTCATCAGAATCAGTACGAATCATGCCCGCCTTTGGAGAACAAAAAAAGACCAACTGTTATCAGAAATTAATAGAAAATTGAAGTCTGTCTAGCCAAGGACCTCCCTAGAGAATTGTCCAATAACTACTGTTATTTACAATAGCAGTTTTGAGTGTACAAATGAAATATGTTCATGTATTTGACAATAATTGGCTGTCATGTATGTGACTGAAATGTAGATGACTTCATTGGTTACAATAAGTCTCACCACAAAATGCAAGGCCCATGCCAAAATCCATCGTATGGTCTTGTTGGGAGGGTAGATGCTCTATTTATCACTTAACCCTTATCCCTCATTTACATTTATCTTTTCATCTAACATATGGTAAGTCACAACTTTTGTACAGGTACCGAACATGTGCCTCACCTACAAACATTCCTTCTAAGTTATGCAATCATAGCCTACATTTTTCAGATAGAAAACAGTCCAGTGTGTATCAGACAAAAAGAGGACTAAAACTAAAAATCAGGACTAAAAATCATCATCTTGCAAGACGCCGAGAACTCCACGTCCGCGACTAACTTCGACTTGACAGAGACATGAGTGTTGCATGTTACTTGAGCAAACAGGTGAGCAAATTAATCTATATAAAACTAATCAATGTTATATAGTTTAACATGATGAAAAGTTAGAATATGATCTGTATGTTATTCTCTAATATTAATCTAGCTTAGTCTCATACAACCAACAAACAACCTAACAACATTCAACACACACAAATGCAGTTTAGTGTGATAGTGTAATGTTAACTGTTAGAGCAAGTGAAGCAGCGCTGTGTTACGTCATTAAAGAGTAAACACTTAACCAACTTTTTTTAGTTAATGATCTGTAAGAATGGATCTTTATTAATACCAGTCATTGATTCGAGTAACTTTTTTGACATTTGTGTGTTCTATTTCTACAATATATGGTGTAAAAACGTCTTAGTGATGCCCTCTACAGGTTGAACGGTGGCTACTGCAGTTGAATTTTACTATTGGATGTTCCGCACTTCGTGACGTATGCAGGTTTCAGCTCACCACACGAGCTACGCCCTTGGCAATATAAAAACCACTGTAGGGAGTCAGGAATTGGAATTGTGAGTATTGAAAACGATCAGGATAGAGCGTTTTAGCATCTATTTCGTCCCCTCTATCTCCGCTGGGGTCTGCCCACTTTTTCAGCATTTTCAAATATTGCCAGTGGGTGGAGTCAGGCTCTGACCAGGGGTTTAGTTACCCTTTAATATGTGCCTTTGTTATTGTAAGAGGTAAGCGACCCCTGGTGGCGAAACGATCTTGAATTAATGTACCTTTGGCTCGAACAGGACATTTCTGAATGGTTGGTTAACCTAATGTCACTTTGATCTATCTTTGTATGTACTAGCAGGGTAGAGTAGTGAGATACGAATGCTATGTGTTCACTAATGTATAGTTTATTGACAGTTTAATGTTACAGTTAATAGTCATGTTTTTTTTTTTTTTTGTTTTTTGTTTTTGTTTTTTTCGCGATTTGCAAACATTAATATAAAGGTTAATAAAACTTTACACTCACTTCTTCCAAATGTGCAGCCGGGACATGAATAGTTGGTACAAATTCATTTTTTTAGGAACAGCTTTTTAGCAAAATTTGCTTTATACTGACCCTCATTTTATAAAGCAGTCTGGTGAAAAATTATTCGCGCAAACATGAAAGCATTGACGTTGCTTGTGGGGAATATTCCCTTCGAAAACAAAACTCAACCACTGCGTCTTCAACGCTTCGCATTTAGGAACATTAAAATGACTGCTGCGTTCATTATTACACCCAAGAACAGAACACCACAATTGCTTAGATGCCATTCTGCTCCAGCGTATCAACAATGGCGAACTCTGATGACAGCTCGCTCAGGGTGAATCTGGATTGAAACGCTGCTGTCAATTAACAATCGTGGGAGGGGCATCTGACCGTGTGACGTCGCACGGTCAGGCGCCTCGATTTGAGACAGGGAAAAACATATAAGGAGATTAGAAAAAAAACACTGGATGGATTTTTATCATTATATGATGGTTGTGTACAAGCAATGCCAACACACATTTCAGTACAATCAACGTGTAAAAGTGCATGTACCATTATATGATAAATAGTACAAAATAAAAGCATTTTCACCAGTATATTAGTGCATTATGTGTGTTTCAATTCGTGTACAACATAATTGGGAGCATATAGCTAAGTCACAAACAAATCATACTGACATGAAGATGCCAAACAATCTTGACTTGCAATATGTAATTGTGCATGTGCTCACTTCTGTGGTGGGAGTTCATCGTACGCTCAACTGCGTATTCAGCTCTGTGCATGTGATTGGGTGAGTGTTCAAATGTACAGTAGTGTGTCAAGTGTGTGTGCATGGACCGACCTCATTGCTCTTCTGAACAGCCTCTCAGTTTTACCTCCAGCCCCAGAGCCGGCCTCCTTGACACAGAACAGCCTCTCAGAGACCGTGCTTTGGAATGTGCTGAAAGACTAGCGCTCTCTCTTTCTCTCAGTCCACTCTTTCCTAGTTATAACCTGGCCACCTCTTCTCAGCACCATCCTGTGCGCTCAAGAATTTTTTTTTACCTTAACCTTCCTCCATGCCTGAATCAATTTCAAAAAAACTCTATGCTTCAAAAGTCATTTTTGGCTTGTAGGCCAATTTAAAATGCATCAGAAGAGTAACAGATTCCTAAAGCTGAACAATTGCACCATGTGAATCGAAAAGTCACAATAACACAAGATGATTATGTATTGTTATGAAAATCATACCCAGTTTCTATCAAACAGCCAGAGGCAAGTAAATAGGCTGTGCAATTTATGTGCATGAATACAGAATCAGTATGCCCCAAACATAAATGTTCAACACACTTCCCTGCAGACCCACAGGTCACTGTACCAACCACCTGAACCACTGACAAACTGTTTGACTTGAGGAGAGGGAGTATCTTTGCACAATATTGCACTGAGAATCATGTAAACTAAAAGTAAATTAATGTCCATTTCTGGCAAGAATCATTTGAAGAGCTCTTTTCCAAAACGCTATAAATCCATTTCAATAGTTTTCAGGAAAACTAAATTGTTTTACCTAGACCCACACATTTTGTGAATATTCAAATTATCCTGTTTAAATGTTTTATTGGTTCAGTCTGAACATTTGGAACAATAATTATTAAATCAAACAACAATATTGTTAATGATAATTTAAAAGTTAATTTTATTTTTTTCCAAAACGCTATAAATCCATCCATTTTTTTGTATCATTTTTAGTAAAGTCATTTTTAGTAAAGTGTCAAACCTCAAACAAATAGTACCAATTTCAAAATATGCATGAAAAAAACGAATTATTAAAAATGATCAATTTATGATAACGATATTCAAAAAAGGGATGGGCACCCCTCCAGCACATGCACACACACACAGGCTACATAACATGTGAGCAAAGCGGAGCAGCATGACGCTTAAATATAAGTAAAAAAAAAAACAAAATAAACATAGGCTACGTTTCACATTTGTGTTTAATAATATTACATTACTTATTTTTATTATTTCATCTATGTTGAGTAGGCTATGAAAAGGGAACCGCATGAGATGAGTAAGATAGGATCAAAATTCAAAAGCTGCCCAATATCGGAAAATATTTGGGGTGCGTCAGACATGATTTTGACCACTTATTAAGTTTTGTTTTGTAGAAAGCTTGTAAATTTCGTTTCATATAAATTGTATCTTCATTTTAATAAATGTTTCATCGACAAATTGACTGGATTAATACATTAGAAGTAAATATCAGACAATATAATCAGGACACAGAGGCGCTCAGGTGAACCGGAGCGCGTCTCATAATATGAACCGAAACACCGCGACGCTTGCCTCACACAGGCCTGAGAACTAGGCTACAGAAAGCTTTAAATGTCTACTTTTAAACAAAACAATTAAAAACTAAAATAAATTGGCAACTCTCTGCGTATGTAGGCTAATTCAAAGTATGCGTTTCTATAGGCCTATGCGCGTTCACTGCGAAGATGGCGAGTATAAGCATCATCAACTTTATCTTTGCTGCTGACACTGACAGAAAACACTAGTTTATTAATAAACAATTCAAATGATTCATGCATAATCATTACTTTTGCCGGTTCTTTGTGGCAAGCTTTATGCATACGTTGAGATGCGGAATAGGCAATTAAAAACGCTCATATGGTTTCTCTCCCATTTAATTAAATCAATATATGTGATTACTGATAATACAAATGTCTTAAACGATCTACTACTAGTTGACTAGAAAACTAGGACTCATTTTGAGGAATGAATGAACATAATAAACCTCTGTTCAGAGTGCCGCAGTGCTGGATTGTGTAGAGCGCTCATTGAATTTGAGGATTTATAGCATTTAGGCTAAAAACAGGGCTGGCGCTTATCGCGGTTTGGAAAGAAACTGTATCTTGCAGTACATTTTAAACAAGGAAATATAGCGATTTGGCATGAAACGTTGATGGAGCAGTGAAAGGGTTCTGTCCACAGCAGAATGACACGACAAACTCATTTTTTTTAAAAATGGCGTATATCGCGTTTTGGAAAAGAGCTCTTCATTTCTTGATAAGTCTACAAGGAAAGCAAAAGGACAGCAGAAGGAGAAACAAAACATTGTTCTCAACTACTGTTTAACCATGTAAGATGCTACTGCCTTTGTGTGGATGCCAATATAGATAAATACTCAAAATCTAACTCTAAACTGTTGTGCACTAACCTTTAACTGTCAATCAATCAGTAAAGCTAATGATCATCCAATAATAATCAAAAAAGTAACATGGGTCAAGTTGAATCACTTAATCAGGCATCACAGCTGTTAAGACATGTTGATATTATTATATATTTTTGATAATTGCAAGTTGCTTAAAGGTCCTTATATACTTGCAGTGTAGTTATTTTTTGTTCTTAGCTATTGGGTCAAAACAAGTTCAAAATACAAGAGCAGCGGTATACTGTTAGCGATCCTGA